TGCTACAGTCATTTTCTGCACCGATACTTTACTAGTGTCGATGTCATGTTTGAAGAATTTGTTCCATACTTTCCAGCACCTTCTCAGCCTTTGGATCTGGACTTTGGATCATCTTCTGTACCACCATCTTCAGATATTCTGCTGCCCACTGTGTTACCATCTACTTTGCCTCTCCGTGTCTACTCTCGCCGTCCTTATCCATCGACTAAGATGCCCGTACCGTCTTCCTTGCCGCCTTTTGATCCTGGTGCATTAGGTAATTTAGACTCTTTACCTATTGCTCTTTGCAAAGGTACTCATTCGTGTGTTACTAATTATCCTATTTCTCATTTTGTTTCATATGGTGCCTTGTCTTCTGTCTTCTCCTGTTTTACTTCCCAATTATCTGCTATATTTATTCCTAAGTATTTACAGGATGCATTATCTAATCCGGGTTAGAGAAAAGCTATAGAGGAGGAGATGGATGTTTTACATCATAATGGGCCTTGGGATCTCGTTTCTTTACCCCCTAGTAAATGAACTGTTGGTTGTCGTTGGGTGTATATTGTTAAATTTCATCTAGATGGTTCTGTGGAGCGTCTCAAAGCCTGACTTGTTGTAAAGGGCTTTACTCAAACTTGTGGTGTTGATTATGAGAAGAATTTGTCTCCTGTTGCCAAAATTTCCTCTATTCGTATCTTGATCTTTTTGACTGCTAATCTTGATTGGCCCTTGTTTCAGCTAGACATCAAGAATGCCTTCCTACATGGTGACTTGGTTGAGAAGGTATACATGGAGTAGCCACCTGGGTTTACTGCTTAGGGGGAGTATGGTAAGAGTGTATGTCGGTTAAAGAAATCTTTGTATGGTTTGAAACAGGCACCGAGGGCATGGTTTGGTAAGTTTTCAGATGCAGTTTTAGAGTTTGGTCTTCTTCGATGTCAGACAGATCATTCTGTATTTCATAGACAGACAGATACTGGATATGTCTTATTGGTGGTCTATATAGATGATATTGTGATTACTGGAAATGATTTTGAGGGGATTGCCAAGTTAAAAATATTCTTACAGGATCGATTTCATACTAAGGATTTAGGAAAACTCAGATATTTCTTCGGTATTGAGGTGACTCGATCTAAATAGTGTATTTGCTTATCCCAGAGGAAATATGTACTTGATATGCTTGAGGAAGCAGGTTTGCTGGATGGTAGACCGATTGATGTTCCTATGGATCCAAATCAGAAATTATTAATGGATGATGGTGCATTGTTTGAGAATTCGGGTCGGTATCGTAAATTGGTTAGGAAGTTTAATTGTCTCACTATTACTCGACTGGATATTTCCTATGCAGTCAGTATAGTAAGTCAGTTCATGGGATGTCCCAGAGTACCACATTGGGAGGCAGTTACTCGTATTCTGTGATACCTTAAACGAGCTCTTAGACTTGGACTGTTATATCGAGCTAATGGACATCTTAGAGTGGAAGGTTTCTCCGATGCTGATTGGGCTGACTCTCCTTCTGATCGGAGATCAACCACCAGTTATTGTACTTTATCAGGAAGTAATGTTGTCTCATGAAAAAGTAAGAAACAACCCGTGATAGCAAGATCCAATGCTGAGGCTGAGTATAAGGCAATGACACATACGACAAGTGAGTTGACTTGACTACTACACTTTCTCCAAGAAATTGAGTTTCCAGTTCAACTTCCTTGACAGTTGTTCTTTGACAACCAGACAACTATCCATATCGCTGTCAATCCTGTATTTCATGAGAGAACCAAGCATATTGAGGTTGATTGTCACTATATTTAAAACAAGATAGTAGCTAGGGAGATTACAACTCCATTTGTGAAATCTGAAGATCAGCTTGCAGATATGTTTNGCTATCCATATCGCTGTCAATCCTGTATTTCATGAGAGAACCAAGCATATTGAGGTTGATTGTCACTTTATTTATAACAAGATAGTAGCTAGGGAGATTACAACTCCATTTGTGAAATCTGAAGATCAGCTTGCAGATATGTTTACCAAAGCATTGAGTCGTACATGTCTTACAACTATTTGTTCTAAGCTTGGATTACATGATATATATAGTCCTGCTTCAGGGTGAGTGTTAAGAATAATAGGGTAGTATGTGTAATTCTTAATAGTACGAGGGTGTATGTATAATTTTTATTATTGTAGGTTAAGTATAAATACAAGTGATGTATGAAAGTTNCCAAGCTTGGATTACATGATATATATAGTCCAGCTTCAGGGTGAGTGTTAAGAATAATATGGTAGTATGTGTAATTCTTAATAGTACGAGGGTGTATGTATAATTTTTATTATTGTAGGTTAAGTATAAATACAAGTGATGTATGAAAGTTAGGTTAAGTTTTTCAACCTCTCTTTTTCTCCCTATTATTGTCTATAATATTGTGTTATGTTAATCCTATCAACTTAACACACATAACTCTTTTTCCACGCATTCAAATCTTTTCTGCACTCTTTCCACAACAGGATTCCAAAATTTTAGGAATAAAGGATTACCCCCCAACAGAAGACCTAGATACTTTAATGGCCACTCTCTTGTCTCACACTCATCCATTCTCATTCAATCACGACGGGGGAGCAAATGAAAATAGAAAAACCCAAATTGGGTTTANTTGCACTCTTTCCACAACAGGATTCCAAAATTTTAGGAATAAAGGATTACCCCCCAATAGAAGACCTAGATACTTTAATGGCCACTCTCTTGTCTCACACTCATCCAATCTCATTCAATCACGACGGGGGAGCAAATGAAAATAGAAAAACCCAAATTGGGTTTAGGGATAATCAGGCTTGAATTGATGACTTCCACCAAGTCAAGGTGACACCCTACTACTGAGTGATATCCCTTCCCTGCCCCCATCGAGAAATAGAACTGACTAATCCTAAGTTAAAAGGTATCTTCTATCTTACTCCTAGAAGAGTTAATGTCGACAACTAAGCCCTTGGACATATTCACTTCAACCCCAAAACCAAGCTAAAAGTCCTNACTGAGTGATATCCCTTCCCTACCCCCATCGAGAAATAGAACTGACTAATCCTAAGTTAAAAGGTATCTTCTATCTTACTCCTAGAAGAGTTAATGCCGACAACTAAGCCCTTGGACATATTCACTTCAACCCCAAAACCAAGCTAAAAGTCCTTAATAATTTCCACCAAATTCTAAAATTTTTGCTCGTCTCTAGATGAGAAAAAAATGGTGTCATCCACAAGCTAAAGATGAAAACTTTAATCCTATCATTCCCCACTAGAAAACCTTCCACTAAATTATATTCCACTCCTCTCTCGGCCAATCTACTCAATCCATCAACAATCAAAGTAAAAAAGAAAAGGTGAGTGGATCCCCAATCTCAAACCCCTAGAAGCATTAAATCTTTCCCTTGGTTTACCATTTAAAACCACTGTGAAATTCATAGAAGACAAATAACAACTAATCCATCTCCTTCAATGGGGAGCATGGAGTATGAACCTATTGATTAGACATCTAATTTGGCAAGTGTGATGGACATGTGAAAAGAATGTAATACACCTGTTATTTTCAGCCAATATTCACACTATGACCTGTTGTTAAATGGTATGCACCAACACACTCTTTTCTATTAGCCTAAGCATCTTCGCTAACTCGCTCGCCTACTATGAAACTACAACAGATGGAAATGGATCCTGCCTCACAGAATCCATGTGATTTTCTATGTAAATCTTGCTGTTGATTCATGTTAACTTGGTTGAGNGCACTCTTTTCTATTAGCCTAAGCATCTTCGCTAACTCGCTTGCCTACTATGAAACTACAATAGATGGAAATGGATCCTGCCTCACAGAATCCATGTGATTTTCTATGTAAATCTTGCTACTTATTCATGTTAACTTGGTTGAGTGAGTTTCTAATATGTAAACTTCTAACTTCACCCCGTGAGATTCTAATTTAAAGTCCTGTCATATAGTACAAGAGCAGCCACAGTAGGATAAGAGACCCAAACCCTATGCACTTGAAAAAGCAAAAAAATAAAAATACTCAAATCCTTTGCACATCAATCCTAATTGAAGAAGAAGTCCATGCTGGGTTGAGGAAGATAAACTCTGGACTGAATGAGACATATTTCTTGAATGCATTTGATTCTTTGCATCTCCCAATCATGCACGAAATAACCCTCTTTTTGTTGACATCTGATCATTCAGGTGGCAATTTCAAGATGTCAGAATGGGATAGGACTTGCCATAGTTACCCAAGCTATTTTATCCCTTGTTGCTGATTCTACTGATGACAGCAATTGAGGCATGGCTTTTGGATAGCTACAGTTAACAGCAAAATTTTTGCTCGTTTCTGGTTNCAGCTATTCTATCCCTTGTTGCTGATTCTACTGATGACAGCAATTGAGGCATGGATTTTGGATAGCTACAGTTAACAACAAAATTTTTGCTCGTTTCTGGTTGAGACAAAAATGGTGTCATCTGCAAATTGAAGATGAAAACTTTAATCCTATCATTCTCCACTAGAAAACCTTCCACTANAAGCTATTTTATCCCTTGTTGCTGATTCTACTGATGACAGCAATTGAGGCATGGCTTTTGGATAGCTACAGTTAACAGCAAAATTTTTGCTCGTTTCTGGTTGAGACAAAAATGGTGTCATCCGCAAATTGAAGATGAAAACTTTAATCCTATCATTCTCCACTAGAAAACCTTCCACTAAATTATATTCCACTTCTCTCTCGACCAATCTACTCAATCCATCAACCACCAAAATAAAAAGAAAAGGTGAGCGGATCCCTAGTCTCAAACCCCTAGAAGCATTGAATCTTCCCCTTGGTTTACCATTTAAAACCACTGTGAAATTCATAGAAGACAAATAACAACTAATCCATCTCCTTCAATAGGGAGCATGGAGTATGAACCTATTGATTAGACATCTAATTTGACAAGTGTGATGGACATGTGAAAAGAATATAATACACCTGTTATTTTCAGCCAATAAATGAACTGTTGTTAAATGGTATGCACCAACGCACTCTTTTCTATTAGCCTAAGCCTCTTCTCTAACTTGCTTGCCTACTATGAAACTACAGTAGATGGAAATGGTTCCTGCCTCACTGAATCCATGTGATTTTCTATGTAAATCTTGTTGTTGATTCATGTTAACTTGGTTGAGTGAGTTTCTAATATGCATTATGGTAAACTTCTAACTTCATCCCGTGAGATTCTAATTGAAAGTCCCCTTATATAGTGCAAGAGCAGCCACAGTAGGATAAGAGACCCAAATGCCATGCAGATTGATACTTGGAAAAACCCTACGCACTTGATAAAGCAAACAAATAAAAATACTCAAATCTTTTGCACATCAATCCTAATTGAAGAAGTCCATGCTGGGTTGGGGAAGATAAATCTGGACTGAATGAGACATATTTCTTGAATGCATTGACTCTTTGCATCTCCCAATCATGCACGAAATAACCTTTTTTTGTTGACATCTGATCATTCAGGTGGCAATTGAATGGGATAGGACTTGCCATAATTACACCAGCTATTCTGTCCCTTGTTGCTAATTCTACTGATGACAGAAATCGAGGTATGGCTTTTGGATGGCTACATTTAACAGCAAACTTTGGCTTAATCATTGGTGGGCTTTGTTCTGTGCTGATTGCCTCAACATCATTCATGGGCATCCCTGGTTTGAGGATTACCTTCCATCTTGTTGGACTAATAAGTGTTATCGTTGGAATTTTGGTCCGCCTATTTGCCAATGATCCCTAAGTTTTTTTAATTCTGATAATAAAACTAAAGCTCATATTCCACCAAAACCCTGTGCCTCAAAAATAAAGGACCTGATTAAAGAAGCAAAGGCAGTTGTGAAAATTCCATCATTCCAAATAATTGTTGCTCAAGGTGTATATGGTTCATTTCCTTGGTCATCATTATCATTTGCCCCAATGTTAGAGCTCATTGGGTTCTCCCGCAAAGAAACGGCATTTCTCTGGATTGTTTTTGTCATTGCCACTTCACTTGGGGGTCAATTCGGGGGAAGGATGGGGGATATCCTCTCAAAACGGTTGCCAAATTCTGGGAGAATAATTCTCTCATAGATAAGCTCTGGTTCAGCCATTCCTTTAGCAGCAATATTGCTGCTTGTATTGCCTGATGATCCTTCAACTGTGTTTATCCATGGCTTGGTTTTATTCATCATGGGATTAATCATATCCTGGAATGCTGCAGCTACGAACAAGTATGTCTCTATTGACCATTTATGTTTTTTCTCCTTATCTTTGAGAATAACAGGGTGTTTGTGGGGTGTTGGAGCTGTGAACTAGAAGTGTGTGGAATATTCTATTGTGGGGTTTGGCAGGTAAGAACTTTACAAGATATGATGAATAGCTTCTTTGAATCTCTCTAGTTTCACACTTCTGAGTGCCACTATATAATTTTTTGGGTTCTATGTCATATTGGATAATATTGGAAACCATGATCTTCGAATCTCTAGCTTTCGCTTGTGAATATTCACATGAACAGAAGTGGGGCATAATCATAATAGGGACCCTAAAATTACTTTCAGAGCTATTAGATGCCACACAAAACTTCTGAAAAAACCCAACTTATGGTTAAAAGTGTTTCTGGCTTTTGGAGGGGAATACTTTCAGAGCAATTGAAATCGCTTCTTCCAAATGCACTACTATACCATGCATCACATGTAGCACTCAGGCATGAAACAACATCAGAAATTTTGATGATTTATTTAACCATGCATTTTTGTTTTTATGTCTACAGTCCAATATTTGCAGAGATAGTTCCAGAGAGATCTCGAACGAGCATCTACGTTTTGGATCGATCCTTTGAATCCATATTAGCATCATTTGCTCCTCCTATAGTTGGAATTTTGTCTCAGCATGTATACGGTTACAAACCTGTTACAAAAGGAGCAACAGATTCTCAAGAGATTGAAACAGATAGAGAAAATGCTACAGCACTTGCCAAGGCACTCTACACAGCGATTGGCATTCCACTGGCTATCTGTTGCCTCATCTACTCCTTCTTATACTCTACTTATCCAAGAGATAGGGAATGGGCAAGAATGGATTCCTTAANAAAATTACTTTCAGAGCTATTAGATGCCACACAAAACTTCTGAAAAAACCCAACTTATGGTTAAAAGTGCTTCTGGCTTTTGGAGAGGAATACTTTCAGAGCAATTGAAATCGCTTCTTCCAAATGCACTACTATACCATGCATCACATGTAGCACTTAGGCATGAAACAACATCAGAAATTTTGATGATTTATTTAACCATGCATTTTTGTTTTTATGTCTACAGTCCAATATTTGCAGAGATAGTTCCAGAGAGATCTCGAACGAGCATCTACGTTTTGGATCGATCCTTTGAATCCATATTAGCATCATTTGCTCCTCCTATAGTTGGAATTTTGTCTCAGCATGTATACAGTTACAAACCTGTTACAAAAGGAGCAATAGATTCTCAAGAGATTGAAACAGATAGAGAAAATGCTACAGCACTTGCCAAGGCACTCTACACAGCGATTGGCATTCCACTGGCTATCTGTTGCCTCATCTACTCCTTCTTATACTCTACTTATCCAAGAGATAGGGAATGGGCAAGAATGGATTCCTTAATAGAATCAGAAATGCAAGAGATGGAGATGGACAATCCTTCAGGACAAGTATACTCCCAAACTCGTATTTCACAATCAGATGAGCTACATGGAAAAGAGAGGAGTGTGATTGAAATCGGTTACGAAAAAGGGGAAAGCCTTGATTTTGATGAAAATGATGAGAACAGACTCCTTTCCCATCAGCTCACATTTTCATATCTTGGCAAATATGACTCTGGGAATGCAGCAAGCTAAGACTATTACTCCTAACAACTCAGATTATGAAACCTTCTGTTTGATATACATAGAACCCAAAGTATCATTATTCCTCTTATAAAAAAAAGGTATCCTTATTCCAAATTTATAGAAATATTACTGGCAAGGAGAGCACATATGGAATCTGTACAGTATGTAGCCATTATGCTTCCGTGGTTTTGATGGATGTTGATATGTTAAAAGATCCATATACGAACATTGTGACATCTATGGATATTGGGTAAGTTTATTCTGTTGTAATTCATTTGGGAATTAGTTTATATGGTTTCGTGTAATGTTAAGCTTAGTTTATGTATTGCATACATAAATGTGTGGATTGTAAAACTTACAAAAATGGTTTGTGACGATTACTGATTATTATTGTTATTGTGGCCAAGATCCTCCTAAGGGTCATTCCGGAGCACAGTTTTATGCATTGTTAACAGAGATAATGACTAGTTCAACCTGCCCTTGTCTTGGAAAGCAATAGATGTCATCAGATATTGTCATATTGATTTGTATCAATCTAATTGTAACAAACCTCTATAAATACTAGTACTCTTACAATGAATAATATAGAATTTTTTTTTAGGTTTTGTTATTCCTATATGGTATTTGATGGTACTACAAAAATACCTAAATTTATATTATTTGCAGACCTTGACCTCAGACCTCAACTCCCCGTATTCACATCTCAAGGAAAGTTATGCAAAGGACAGCTGAATTCTATCAAGCACTCCGTTTTGTAGCAACAGTTATTCAGTTATTCAGTAGACACAAGTCTTGTAATTGCCCCAACATCCACTACAGCCATTGCGCAAATAAAGTCGACCGTAACGAGGAAGGGGCGAGGATCTCACCTCAAATCAAGCTAAGGTCCAGTGATAACTATAAATAGGGCACAAAACCCTCAAAAATGACAACAGACCATATTAACCTCACCAGAAACATTTCTGTGTAAACTTTCAAGTAATCAATATATTCAGGAGGAAGAGACTCCCTTGAGAGTGGATTACCCAAGCTCCCGAACTAGTGAATCATTATAAACGCTCTATGTAATCACCCATCTATTACCAAATCCTATTCACTAGAGCCTTGGATCTCATATTGAACTGCATCTACCTATTCAGTGCACCTTATATTCGCATCACTGTTCAANTTGGTGAATCATTATAAACGCTCTATGTAATCACCCATCTATTACCAAATCCTATTCGCTAGAGCCTTGGATCTCATATTGAACTGCATCTACCTATTCAGTGCACCTTATATTCGCATCACTGTTCAATCGTGTTAAGAACATCATCAGTATCATAGCAGAATCTTACCCTATCCTCTCTTTAAAAACAATATTCCATCATCTTCAACATGAGCAGCTCTTCCACAGATGTGGAAAACACATCAAGGCCGCAACCATCGTTCACTCATCCTTCGTTTCTTATGCTCAATGCTCACATAGCCATTCTTGCTACAAAACTCACTGAAACCAATTACCCCATTAGGATTTCCCAAATTTTGCTGCATCTCTGCGGTCACCAACTTCTTGCCTATATTGACGGCACCATCAAGTGTTCTCTCAAGACAATAACATGTGTTTCAACTTACCATTGAACAAGATTTGTGTTCCTTGGCTATAGCTCCTCCCATCACAGTTNAGCACCATCAAGTGTTCTCTCAAGACAATACCATGTGTTGCAACTTACCATTGAACAAGATTTGTGTTCCTTGGCTATAGCTCCTCCCATCACAGTTATCCCAGCGTCGATCCAACATTCCAAAAAATTTACATCTCATATTTATGTTGCCTTGTTCGCTTGACAGACCAGCAAGCAGCTCTTAAAATTCCTCCTTTATTGCCTGACTTTATTATTCTCCCATCTCCGTCTCTTGTTCTACCTGTCTACTCTTCTTCTCCAATATCGACTGTCGTTGTTACTGTTTAAACACCTTGTCCAGTGCCTAGCATCACAACTTTCCTCCTCTATAGAAACACCTACTTTACCAATTCACCATCAATCAGACACCACTACCCAGTGCCAATATGACCAGCATCCACACCCTCTATCGTTTCTCATACCTAACCTGTCACTTTTAAACCACCTAGTAACACCCATGCAATGGTTACTCAATCTCATGACAGTACTCTTCAACCCAAAATCATCAACTATACTACTAAACACCCAATGCCTCAATGCTACCTTATTCAATCGCCATCTAAAATAATTTCATTTGGACTCATTGCTACCTCTCGCATTCCGGCCTTGCACACTGCCATTACAGAGGAGTTCTATTGCATTGATTAAAAATGACACTTGGACACTCGAACATCCTCGGCCCCAAATCAATATTATTGGCTGCAAGTGGATCTGTCAAATCAACAAAACAACTAATGAAACAATTGAGCACTATAAAGCATGCCTTGTCACCAAAGACTTCAATCAACAAGAGGGCATTGACTACACTGCAACATTTAGTTTCATCATTAAACCAGTCACCATCTGCACTGTTTTAAGCATTGCCACCTGCCGTGGTTGGCCAATATGGCAACTGCATGTCAACAATGTGTTCTTTCATGGAATTCTCAATGAGGTCATCTATATGACACAAACTTCAAGCTTCATTGATTTTCAATTTTCAAATCATGTGTGCCGCCTTTTAAAATCCTTATATGAGTTCAAGCAAGCATTTTGTGCTTGGTTTGCACAACTAAGTAATTTTCTCATTAGTCATGGCATTACCTCCTCCCAAACGGACACTTCTCTATTTACTCGCCTTGCCTCCAACTCTTTCCTTTATGTGCTATTGACATTGACAATCTAATTATCACTAGAAGCTCCACGACGTCCATCCATTCTTATTACCCAGTCCAACAAGGAATTCTCTATAAAGGATCTTAGTCCTCTTTACTTCTTCCTCAGCATCTGTTGTGATGACTTGTATTCAAGTCAATTATTTTTTATATGGACTCTAGTTGAAGACATGAGTTTTCATTGGAGTCATTGATAGACAAGTTTGACCTTAATTAGAATTATCTTAGTTTTATTATTTTAGTGGAGTTTAGTCCAACATGGACTTTTGTTGTTTAAACTCAAAACCTTCAAGGAGTCTTTAATTTTTTGTCCTACACGTGAGACCTCCTCAGCATAAAGACTTTGTGAATGAATCAAATTTCTTAGTCCAGAAGCTAGATAAAAAGGAAGTCTTCCCTAGTGAGTTGATATTGCTCTATTTTGTTAAATCCAATAAATATTTTATTATTGGAATAGAGCAGATATCTAGTTTTCTCGTTGATTTGTTTTGAGAACGTTGTAATATCCAACCTTTTTAATAGTAAAATTTTGACGTTGTGTTTCGTTCGTGGATGTAGGCTTGCTTGTTGAGCTGAATCACATAAATTTTTGTGTTCTATTTTTCTATTTTGTTGCGTTATTATTTTACTTGTGGTTTAGTTCATAAAAAATTGGTATCAGGGCTATTGGTTTCTGGATGGCTACCACAAAATTCGAGATAGAAAAATTTGATGGTCAGAAAAATTTCAATTTATGGCAGATCAAGATGAAGGCATTGCTTCGTCAGCAGGGTTTGGCAAAGGCCATTGATAGAACTTTATCCAAGGAGACAAATCAAACTAAAGTTGTTGATATTGAAGAAAAAGCACACAATGCAATTTAGTTGTCTCTTGCTGATGAAGTTCTTCGTGAGGTTATTGATGAAGACAAAGCCGAAGGGTTATGAAAAAAGTTGGAGAGTTTATATATGAAGAAGTCTCTCACCAACCACTTGTATCTGAAGCAACGGTTGTACACACTCAAGATGAAAGAAGGTACGCCCATTAATGAACATCTTGATGAATTTAACAAAATTATTATTGACTTGAAAACTATTGATATTAAAATTGGGGATGAAGATCAAGCCCTGATTGTGTTATGCTCGCTGCCCTGATTCATTTGATAATTTTGTTAATTCGATGTTGTATGGGAGAGACTCAATATCTTTAGCTGATGTGAAATCCTCTTTGAATTCTAAGGAATTGTGTACTAAATTGAATCGTAAGGGCAGTGATACTCAAGCCGAGGGTTTATTTGTGAAGGGTCGTCGTGATAATTCCTCTAATAATAATAGAGGTCGATCCATTGAAAGAAATTCAGATAAAGAAAAAAAAAGTTGGATATCGATCACAGTCTAGGAAGAAATAGAATAATGTTGAATGTTTTTATTGTCATAAAATTGGTCATTATAAGCATGATTGTTTTAAGTTGAAAAATAAAGGGGACAAAAAAAATCAAATCCTTCCAATTCCTCTAGTGTTGCTGGTGTTGCAGAAGATACATCTGATGGTTCAGATAATGTCCTTAAAGTCTCTGATGGATGTTTTAATGATGAATGACTTCTTGATTCGGGTTATTCCTATCATATGTGCCCTAATAGGGATTGGTTTACCACCTATAAATCAGTCAATGGTGGTTCAATCTTGATGGGAAATAATGTTGCTTGCAAGACTGTTGGAATAGGTACTATCCGAATGAAGACACATGATGGGGTTGTGAGGACTTTGACAGATGTACAACATATTCCAGAATTAAAGAAGAATTTGATTTTCTTGAGTACTTTAGATTTCATTGGTTGCAGGCTTTCTGCTAAAGGTGGAGTTATGAAAGTCTGCAGAGGTTCCCTGGTTGTGATGAAAGGTAAAAAGATTAATGGCTTCTATGTTCTTCATGTTGATACTATGATTGGTGCGGCTAATGTGTCATCTTCAAAAATTCCAGATTCAGATACTACCTAGTTATGACATATGCGTTTGGGTCACATGAACGAGAGGGGCATGAAAGTCTGGTGTAAACAGGGTTTGCTTGGCAAACAAGAAATTGAGAAACTTGATTTTTGTGAGCATTGTGTCATTGGGAAACAGTGCAGAGTCAAGTTCAGTACAGCTATTCACAGGACTAAAGGTATAGTTGATTTTATTCATTCAAACCTTTAAGGTCCTTCTCAGGTTC